TATAGTACTCTTTTAGTATTCATGGATGACATATTTGTTAAATTGTAATTCATAGGTGTCAAAAGAAGATTTGATTTGTTTAGATTTAAATAGATTTGAATTTAAATCTAGATTAGATTTGATTTAGTAAAGAGATATTTTGGGCTTGGGTTTAGCTTAGGGAGCAAGCTAACCTAAATCTATAAATAAGAGGGAGTAACCCTTATTTTTGTATTCAAGTCATTGAACTCATTCACAGTATTTTGCAGTTGCAAAGTGAATTAATAAAAGTTTCCACAGTTTGTGGGCATAATAGAAATTCTGCAGAAATATCTCCATTGTTCTTTTATTTGTTTGTTTCATAACTTATCATCAAGTGGTGGTCGAAATTCATCATAGTGTATTGGTGGATTTCCAACATCTGGTATCAAGAGCTTGTGTTTCGATTCAAGGGAAGTATCAATCAAGAACGATTAAAGAATTCATGATGACAAGTTATGGGAATGCAAACTATCCAGCAACGCTGCCAATTCTGAAAGTTGACAACTATGAGAATTGGTGCAAGCAGATGAAAGTCCTATTAAGGTGTCAAGGCCTTTGGGACCTTGTAAAAGATGGAGTCGAAGCGCTTGGCGAAAACGCTTCAGAAGAAGAAAAGAAGAAATACACCGAATCTGAGAAACAAAGCTATAAAGCATTGTTTATAATTCATCAATGTGTCAGCCCAGACAACTTCGAAAAGATTAGTGATTCAGAATCTGCAAAAGAAGCTTGGGAGATCCTGGAGAAGTCTTTTGGAGGCGCTGAGAAGGTGAAAGAAGTGAGGTTACAAACTCACAAAAGGACCTATGAACTGCTTCAGATGGAAGACAGTGAAAACATATCTGATTTCTTCACTAGAGTTACAAAACTAGTGAATCAAATCAAGACATGTGGAGAAACACTAACAACAAGAGCTGTTGTTTCGAAGATCCTGAGATCCTTAGCCCCTAAGTTAGACCACATAGTGGTGGCGATAGAAGAAGGGAAAGACTTGTCGAAATTGACAAAGGAAGAGCTTCAAGGGACGCTCGAATCTCATGAACAAAGAATGAACGAAAGAGCTGCAGGAAAATCGAAGAGTGATGTGGCCTTGCAGGCACATTCAGCAAAAGAGACCAAAGGCAAAGGAAAGTATTTCGACAGAAGTAGAGGTGGCTACAACAAATCGAATGGTAGAGGAAACCAAATCGAAGGAGACGTGTCGAATCAAAGAAGACCACACCACGACAACCAAAGAGGTGGTGCTGCAAACAGAGGAAGAGGTGGTGGTCGAAAACCTGATAAGAGCCACATTCAATGTTACAATTGTCAGAAGTATGGTCACTATTCGAGTGATTGTCCAGAAAAACGAAAGAATCAAGAAAGTGATGCAAAGCTGGCAAAACATGAAGAAGAAGAAGAGATGATGCTGATGGTCACAACAAGAGATGAAGACAGATTCAAGGACCAATGGTACTTGGATTCAGGATGTTCATCACATATGTCTGGAAGGAAAGACTGGTTCGTCAATATAAAACCCTCAACGAAGAATATGGTAAAATTTGCAAATGACAACACCCTAGCAGCTGAAGGTATTGGTGATGTTATGATCATGAGGAAAGATGGCAAGAAGTCAGTAATTTCGAATGTATTGTACATACCAGGCATGAAGAGCAATTTGCTCAGTATAGGGCAGTTGGTCGAAAAGAATTATAAAGTGTCAATCGAAGATAAGTTGATGAGAGTCGTTGATGAAAATGGGAGATTAATCTTGAAGGCTCCTATGTCTCAGAATCGAACCTTCAAGATTGAACTAAATGTGATGGAGCACAAGTGCCTTTCGACTGCAGCTAGCAGAGATGAATGGATATGGCATTATAGACTTGGTCATCTCAACTTCAGAGACATCAGAGATTTGAAGAGAAGAAATATGGTTTCAGGATTGCCTGAAATTTACATTCCAAACGAAGTATGTGAAGAATGTGTGCAAGCGAAGCAACACAAGAACAACTTCAGCAAGGATGCAGGAAGCAGATCGAAGGCTAATCTCGAAGTCATATACTCTGATGTATGTGGACCAATCCAGGTGGATTCGATGGGAGGTAACAAATACTTTGTTACATTCATAGATGATTTCAGTCGAAAGCTATGGACTTACCTGATCAAGAAGAAAAGTGAAGTGTTCGAAGTATTTATCAAGTTCAAGTCCATGGTCGAAAGACAAAGTGGTCGAAAGCTCAAAGTTTTGAGAACTGATGGTGGAGGAGAATATGTGTCGAAAGATTTCGACAGATTATGTGAAAAAGAAGGGATTGTGCATGAGGTGGTGCCACCCTATACTCCACAGCAAAATGGAATTGCAGAAAGGAAAAATCGAACCATCATGAACATGGTGAGAAGTATGTTGAAAGGCAAGAATTTACCCAAAGAGTTCTGGGGTGAAGCTGTTTCGACTGCAACATACATTTTGAACAGAAGTCCTACAAAGAAGCTAGAAGGAATTACTCCAGAATAATGTTGGTCTGGTGTGAAGCCTAGCTTAAGTCATCTGAAAGTATTTGGATCTATTGCACATAGACATGTGCCAGATCAGTTGAGAAAGAAACTTGATGACAAGTCAAGTCAAATGATCCTAGTTGGATATCATTCGACAGGAGGCTACAAGTTGTTCGATCCAGAGAACAAGAAGATTGTGATCAGCAGGGACGTGATCATAGATGAGTTCAAAGAATGGGATTGGACTGCAAATGTCAAGAAAGATTCAGTGGGAATCTTATTCGAAGAGCCAGAAACTCAAGTCGAAAGAGAAGTTCGACAAGAGGAGCCAGCAGATATACCCAGTACAAGCAGACCTCAAAGAACAAGACGCATGCCTGCAAGATTGCAAGATTGTGTGATTACATCAGATGATGTAATAGATGATGAAGGTGAGCTGGTACATTATGCTTTCTATGCAGATGTCGAACCTGTTAATGCAGCTGAAGCATTAAAGGATTCGAAGTGGGTGAAAGCAATGAACGAAGAAGTAAAGTCTATCGAAGACAACAACACTTGGTCACTTGTCGAATTGCCTCAAGGCAAGAAGGCAATTGATGTCAAGTGGGTATACAAAGTGAAGACGAATTCAAAAGGTGAAATAACTCTACACAAAGCAAGACTTGTGGCGAAAGGATTTCTACAGAAAGAAGGAATAGACTTCGACGAAGTTTTTGCACCTGTTGCTAGGATCGAAACAATCAGGTTGGTTGTTGGTCTAGCAAAAATCAACAGTTGGCACATATGTCAGATGGACGTGAAGTGTGCATTCCTAAATGGACCATTAGATGAAGAAGTCTATGTTAAACAACCAGTTGGGTTTGTGAAACATGACGAAGAAAGAAAGGTGTACAGGCTACATAAAGCCCTGTATGGTTTGAAACAAGCTCCAAGGGCTTGGAATAAGAAAATTGATAGTTTTCTAAGGGAGGAGGAATTTGTGAAGTGCATAACTGAACATGAAGTATATGTAAGAAGAAGCAAGAGTAAATTGCTTATACTATGTCTCTATGTAGATGATTTGTTGATAACAGGTAGCTGCAAGAATGAGATCGAAGACTTCAAAGTTGATCTTAGCAAGGAATTCGAAATATCTGATTTGGGTGAGATTTCATATTTCCTTGGTATCGAATTCTACAAGAGCAGTAGAGGTTTGATGATGCATCAAAGAAGATATGCAGGAGAAATTCTCAAGAGGTTTGAGATGGAAGAATGCAATGCAACTTCGACACCTGCAGAACCAAGACTGCAACTGTCGAAAGATGCAGATGAAGATGATGTTGATCCAATCCAATACAGAAGACTTATTGGATCATTGCGATACCTTTGTCATACAAGGCCTGACTTAGCATAAAGTGTAGGTATGGTAAGTAGATTCATGCAGAAGCCAAAGGTATCACATCTAGCAGCTGTGAAGAGGATACTAAGGTATCTCAAAGGAACTTTCGATTATGGCATTCTGTTTCCTGCAGTTGATAAAGGAAAAGAATGCAAGTTAGTGGGATACACTGATTCGAGTTGGTGTAGTGATGCTGAAGATCGAAAGTCAACAGCAGGATATGTGTTTATGCTAGGTGGTGCAACAATTGCTTGGAGTTCGAGAAAAGAACCAGTAGTAGCATTATCATCATGCGAAGCAGAATACATAGCTGCTTCTCTTTGTGCATGCCAAGCAACCTGGATGGTGAACTTGGTCGAAGAGATAACAGGGAAAAATCATGGAGCAATTACCATGAAGATATACAACATGTCAGCTATCAACCTGGCGAAGAACCCAATAGCACATGGTCGAAGTAAGCACATCGAAATGAGGTTCCATTATCTTCGAGAGCAGGTAGCAGATGGGAAGATGAATTTGGAACACTGCAGAACTGAGAATCAGATTGCAGACATCATGACGAAGGGAGTGCAAGTCGAAGTATTCAGAAAGCTAAGGGCCATGATGAACATAGACAGTTTAGACACAATGAATTAGGTGGTGTGTTAAATTGTAATTCATAGGTGTCAAAAGAAGATTTGATTTGTTTAGATTTAAATAGATTTGAATTTAAATCTAGATTAGATTTGATTTAGTAAAGAGATATTTTGGGCTTGGGTTTAGCTTAGGGAGCAAGCTAACCTAAATCTATAAATAAGAGGGAGTAACCCTTATTTTTGTATTCAAGTCATTGAACTCATTCACAGTATTTTGCAGTTGCAAAGTGAATTAATAAAAGTTTCCACAGTTTGTGGGCAGAATAGAAATTCTGCAGAAATATCTCCATTGTTCTTTTATTTGTTTGTTTCATAACTTATCATCAAGTGGTGGTCAAAATTCATCATAGTGTATTGGTGGATTTCCAACAATATTATCCATTTTGCCACAGATACATCAGTAGACCAACATATGTCACATTGACGTTTTAAATAAACCAACTACGCTATGTACATACAGTATGAGAGATAAATAATTTTTTAGCACAAACATGAGTGGACAAAAATTTCTTGTTGTAAGATAATGCATAGATTTCAACAAATAACAATAAGCAAATATAGGTATGAAAAAACTAATACAATTGATATAAATATTAAAAATAATCTATCAATGGATACAATGAAGTTCCTTGCAAAATAAGAAGGATAAGTTTAAAGTTATAAAACCAAAACATGGCAAAATTTGTTCATGTTCATAATATAATAAAATCTGAAAATTTCTTTTCACAGTCAGTACACTTCTTCAAGACCTCTGACGAAATTTCTAAAATATTTCTCGAATTCAAGTATCCAATATCTCAAATTACATGTTGCGCTGGATGTGCATATCCAAGATATTTTTGAGTTTTCAAATTCTCTAAAATCTGATAAAGAATCCACTATAGTGAATGAGATTATTTTTTCTTTTTGATGTATTTCATTAACTTTGTGGAGGACAATAACCATTTACCTCAGAATTTTCTTATGATATAGGTTTTTCTTTTAGAAACCTTGGTTGCTTCATGAATTCACCGAGGATTTCTACGGGGAAGAACTACGGCTGGTTATAGTTGGTTACATACGTCCCGAGGTAGAGCTGTGTACAACATTTCTGCATCATGCTTGTCTTTCTCTTGCTCTCCATCTTTTGAATTTCTCTAAAATTGGGCACTGTGCATTGCAGGAAAGTTTTCCATCCCTTGAAAGCTTGATTGCTAAGATTCATGAAGATCGCAGAGTTGCTGAGAGAGCTCTTGATCTTCCCATGTATTCACGTCATAAGAATGATTCGTATTTGAGAAAATCATAGTACTGATTTTATTAGCTTCTTTAGAAGAAACCTCTGCATTTGTGCTAGTACCAAAAACAGTTTTGTTGTATTATTTCCTGTGATTCTCAATCACCACTCACCATAGCACATTGATTTGTAACATGCTTAAATAGTAATGAAAAAGACCACTATTTAAATTTCAATATTTGTCGTGCCCATTGGGGATTTAGATCTCAAGGCAACAAAGAAAATTTTACAAGATCTAATGAAGACTAATAGTTAATTGTTAGTTACTTAGATCACAAGCAATGTTGTGCTATGGTAGATTGTACAATAAGTAGAGTATACATTTGTAACTCTATAAACTCTTTGTATTGATCATTATTAATCAAGAGAAGAGTTTCTATCTCTCATTTTATTTCTACAATATGGTATCAGTTACCCACCATTGAGAGTTAGTTACAATACTTTGAAGTTAGTTACAAGCTTTCTTGTGTTTTTATTTATATATGTATATTTTTCTGTATGTAAATATTATTTATGTTTTATCATTACGTATACAAATATTTGTATCGATAAACAATTTTATTTCCATTTACAAAATAGCTTATATTCATACTTTATTCACACGCATTTAATTTAAGCAATTTTGTTTTCAAAATTAATCAAATCTTTTTACTATAAAATTTCATATCATTCATCTCTTTAGACTACTTTTCAACACAATTAAATTTGTAAAAATGCCTATAAATCCATAAGCATGTACACCTTTGGTAACTATTGTCAAGTACAATGAATAATAAGGAAGATAAATGGAACGCGTGAGGAGTATTCAGGCTCCATCTTTTTTCTATCACACTTGTTTATCTTTCTCTCTTCTGCCATTAAAGATTTAACACCAAACTCAAAGAATCAATAAAAACAAAAAATGGAAAATACAATCCTGTTTATTTCTGTTGGAAATCCACTAAATATCTATAATGAATTTCTACTTCAATGATAATGAATTATGAGAAAAACAAGAAAAGAAAGAAGACAATTATTTTCTGCAGAGTTCCTCTCTGCCCACAAACTGTGGAAAACTTTGTTATTCACTTGCAACTGCAAATTCTGTAAATACAACTTAATTGACTTGATTACAAAAATATGGGTTACTCCATCTATTTATAACCGAGCTTGCACCCTAAGCCCAAAGCCCAAAGCCCAGAATATCTATTTTGTTACTAAATCAAATCTAATATATTCTAGACTTAAATCAAATCTATTTAAATCTAAACAAATATAATCTTTTCGACACTATGAATTATAATTTAACACACCACCTAATTCATTGTGTCTAAACTATCTATATTCATCATGACTCTTAGCCTTTTGAATACTTCGACTTGCATTCCCTTCGTCATGATGTCCGCAATCTGATTCTCAGTTCTGTAGTGTTCTAAATTCATCTTCCCATCTGCTACCTGCTCTCGAAGATAATGGAACCTCATTTCGATGTGCTTACTTCGATCATGTGCTATTGGATTCTTCGCTAGATTGATAGCTGACATGTTGTCTATTTTCATGGTAATTGTTCCATGATCTTTCCCTATTATCTCTTCGACCAAATTCACCATCCAAGTTGCTTGACATGCACAAAGAGAAGCAGCTATGTATTCTGCTTCGCATGATGATAATGCCACAACTGGTTCCTTTCTTGAATTCCAAGCAACTGGTACACCACCTAGCATAAACACATATCCTGCTGTTGACTTTCGATCTTCAGCATCACTACACCAACTCGAATCAGTGTATCCCACTAACTTGCATTCTTTTCCTTTATCAGCTGCAGGAAACAAAATGCCATAATCGAAAGTTCCTTTGAGATACCTTAGTATCCTCTTCACTACTGCTAGATGTGATACCTTTGGTCTCTGCATGAATCTACTTACCATACCTACACTATATGCTAAGTCAGGTCTTGTATGACAAAGGTATCTCAATGATCCAATAAGTCTTCTGTATTGGGTTGGATCAACATCATCTTCATCTGCATCTTTCGACAGTTGCAGTCTTGGTTTTGCAGGTGTCGAAGTTGAGTTGCATTCTTCCATCTCAAACCTCTTGAGAATTTCTCCTGCATATCTTCTTTGATGCATCATCAAACCTCTACTTCTCTTGTAGAATTCGATACCAAGGAAATATGAAATCTCACCTAAATCAGACATTTCGAATTCCTTGCTGAGATCGCCTTTGAAGTCTTCGATCTCACTTTTACAGCTACCTGTTATCAACAAATCATCTACATAGAGACATAGTATTAGAAATTCACTCTTGTTTCTTCTTACATATACTCCATGTTCAGTTGTGCACTTCACAAATTCCTTCTACCTTAGGAAACTATCAATTTTCTTATTCCAAGCTCTTGGAGCTTATTTCAATCCATACAGGGTTTTATGCAGCCTGTACACCTTTCTTTCTTCGTCATGTTTCACAAACTCAACTGGTTGTTTAACATAGACTTCTTCGTCTAAGGGTCCATTTAGGAATGCACACTTTACGTCCATTTGACATATGTACCAACTGTTTATTTCTGCTAGACCAACAACCAACCTAATTGTTTCGATCCTAGCAGCAGGTGCAAAAACTTCATCGAAGTCTATTCCTTTTTTCTGTAGAAATCCTTTCGTCACAAGCCTTGCTTTGTGTCAAGTTACTTCACCTTTCGAATTCGTTTTAACTTTGTATACCCACTTGGCATTAATTTCCTTCTTTCCTTGAGGCAATTCGACAAGTGACCAAGTGTTGTTATCTTCGATAGACTTCACTTCTTCGTTCATTGCTTTCACCCACTTTGAATCCTTCAATGCTTCAATTGCATTAATAGGTTCAACATCTGCATAGAAAGCATAATGTACTAGCTCACCTTCATTATCTATCACATCATATGATGTAATCACACAATCTTGCAATCTTGCAGGCATACGTCTTGTTCTTTGAGGCCTGCTTGTACTTGGTATATCTGCTAGTTCCTCTTCTCTTTTGATTTGAGTTTTTGGTTCTTCGAATAAGATTCCCACTGAATATTTCTTGACATTTTCAATCCAATCCCATTCTTTAAACTCATCTATGATCACGTCCCTGCTGATCACAATCTTCCTTTTCATTGGATCGAACAACTTGTAGCCTCCTATCAAATGATATCCAACTAGAATCATTTGACTTGACTTGTCATCAAGTTTTCTTCTCAACTGATCTAGAACATGTCTATGTTCTATAGATCCAAATACCTTCATATGACTCAAGCTAGACTTCACACCAGACCAATATTCTTCTGGAGTAATTTCTTCTAGCTTCTTTGTAGGACATCTGTTCAAAATGTATGTTGTAGTTGAAACAACTTCACCCCAAAACTCTTTAGGTAAATTCTTGCCTTTCAACACACTTCGTACCATATTCATGATGGTTCAATTTTTCCTTTTTTCAATTCCATTTTATTGTGGAGTATAGGGTGGCACCAGCTCATGCACAATCTCTTCCTTTTCACATAACATGTCGAAGTCTTTCGACACATATTCTCCACTATCATCAGTTCTCAAAACTTTGAGATTTCGATCACTTTGTCTTTCGATCATAGACTTAAACTTGGCAAATACTTCGATCACTTCACTTTTCTTCTTGATCAGATAAGTCCATAGCTTTCGACTGAAATCATCTATGAATGTAAAAATATTTGTTACCTCCCATCGAATCCACCTGGATTGGTCCATATACATCAGAGTATATGACTTTAAGACTAGCCTTCGACCTGCTTCCTGCATCCTAGCTGAATCTATTCTTGTGTTACTTCGCCTGCACACATTCCTCACATACCTCATTTGGAATGTCGATTTCTGGCAATCCTGAAACCATATTTCTTCTCTTCAAATCTATGATGTCTATGAAGTTGAGATGACTCAGTCTATAATGCCATATCCATTCATCTCTGCTAGTTACAGTCGAAAGGCACTTATGCTCCATCACATTTAGTTCGATCTTGAAGGTTTGATTCTGAGACATAGGAGCCTTCAAGTTTAATCTCCCATTTGCATCAACGACTCTCATCATCTTATCTTCGATTGGCACTTTATAATTCTTTTCGACCAACTGTCCTATACTGAGCAAATTGCTCTTCATGCCTGGTATGTATAACACATTGGAGATTACTGACCTTTTACCATCTTTCCTCATAATCATAACATCACCAATACCTTCAGCTGCTAGGGTATTGTCATTTGCAAATTTTACCATATTTTTTGTTGAGGGCTTTATGTTGACAAACCAATCTTTCCTTCCAGATATATATGATGAACATCCTGAATCTAAGTACCATTGGTCCTTAAATTTATCTTCATCTTTTGTTGTGACCATCAACATCATCTATTCTTCTTCATGTTTTGCAAGCTTTGCATCACTTTCTTGATTCTTTCGTTTTTCTGGACAATCACTTGAATAGTGACCATACTTCTGACAATTGTAATATTGAATGTGACTCTTATCAGGTTTTCGACCATCACCTTTTCCTCTATTTGCAATACTACCTATTTGGTTGCCTTGATATGGTCTTCTTTGATTCGACGTGTTTCCTTCAATCTGATTTCCTCTACCATTCGATTTGTTGTAGCCACCTCTACCTCCGTCGAAACACTTTCCTTTGCCTTTGGTTTCTTTTGCTGAATGTGCCTACAAAGCCACATCACTCTTCGATTTGCCTGCAACTCTTTCGTTCATTCTTTGTTCATGAGATTTAAGCGTCCCTTGAAGCTCTTCCTTTGTCAATTTCGACAAGTCTTTCCCCTCTTCTATCGCCACCACTATGTGGTCGAACTTAGGAGCTAAAGATCTTAAAATCTCCGAAACAACAACTCTTATTGTTAATGTTTCTCCACATGCCTTGATTTGATTCACTAGTTTTGTAACTCTAGTGAAGAAATCAGACATGCTCTCACTATCTTCCATCTGAAGCAATTCATACGTTCTATTGTGAGTTTGTAACCTCACTTCTTTCACCTTTTCTGCAC